GCTGAGAACGGAAAAATGGCTCAGGCTTAGTACACATGGTGTTCACCTTTTACTCAGGTTCCACGGGCACTCAAGAAATCCAGGAGTCTGGCCCCTGCTCTCCTGACACCCCCTCCCTCGCTGCACGATCCAGGAGTCCAGTGCGGGGACAGTTTTGCAGCCGTGAATCTTAAGAGACAGAGAATCTCCAGGCTAAAATACAATGTAGGTTCGATCATTCAGGTACACAGGGGTGCACATTGGTTTCTGTGGACGGAGCCAAGAAGAAAAGCGTTCACAGTTCTGAGAGCAAAGGGTTTGAGAAGGCACTGCCTCTTTAGGGGGACACCCGGCTTCAGCTCACAACCTCTCCCTGGACTTGATTGCTTGCGTTCATCCTTGGCCAGGAAGGCCAGATCCCCAAGGCTCGCTGCCCCCTCTACACAGTGTCCAGGCCGCTGGAAGTCCCAGGCATCTGCAGGAGGAGGAAGAACCCTAATCGCAATTCCGGATTCAAGGGAGGCCAAGCCTGGCTCCCTGGGTCTCGGGGAAGGGCTTGCTGGCCTCCGCGCCTTTCGTCAGGCCTACGGTGCAGAACAGGAGCCTTCACAGTCTCTGGATCTCAGGAGAATCAGGTCCTCTCAATTTCTCATATTAAACAGAAAAAAGAAGGGAAACAAAACAAACAACAACAACAAAAACAAACCAAAACAAAAAACCTCACAGACTCCCCCTGTCGCCCCTGATTAAAATGGAATTGGAGAAATATATCCAATCAGGAGAGAAACCCGAGGCAGAGGCAGTTGAGCAATGGCGTCTAGGCCTACGGGATCTCATGGATGGTGTCTAATCATGAAGATGAGTTTGGAGGCGAGCCCGCCTATATCTCGATCTCCCCAGCCTCACCCAACCACACTCCCAGTTACAGCATTCCAAAGATTTGTCCTCAGCGCCCAGTCGTTGGGTGATGTGGGGATCCACCGTGCCTGTGCAGGAGAAGAGAGCTCGAGAGAACAGAGCCTTTAACTCGTCCCCACAGTTCTCTGAAAATGAGGCTTGGGCGGAAGAGCCCAGCAATGCCACGTTCTGCCATCTGCTTCAGTTTTCTGTGGAGTGGGAGGGTGGTTAGAACATAGAGGGGGAAATACAGACCCAAATCAAGGGCGGCGCGGACCAGCGGTGAGAATGTGGGTCTTCGGCCATCATCCACAAACGAAATAGTGGTGAAACGAAATACAAAACGAAGCAACGGCTGAGAAATTTTAAAAGGACTCCTCGCAAATACTAAAAAATTTAAAAATGAAAATAATCTTCAAAATTTCCCAAAGTGCCATTTTCTGAACGTATGTTTCCGGCGTGTGCGGGACAAGCTTTCCGAACGTATCCACAGACTGAGATGTGGAGACCTCAGAGGCCCAGGATTGGTTGGGGCTTTGCCCAGCTCCCTGCAGTCCATCGCGGCCTGGGGTTTGCTGCACAGCGCCTGCTCAGAAAGACCAGGCCTGAAGCCTGGAGGTCTCCCAGGCTCAGGGGCCAGCTCCAAGTGACCATTCTTCTGGTTGCTCCGTCACGGCTGGCTGAAGGTTTTGAACGGCCAAATCGGCCAAATCGTTCTCAGGTCAAGGTTTAAGCTATTTCAAGTCAAAGGCTCGCTCTTCTGGGTGGGGGGGACCCCGTGGACCTCTGAGTACCGGGCTCATGTGTCCAGCTTCCTCTCCAGAGCCTTTTAACCGAGTGGGTGACTACCCGGGTGGATGACCGGTACTCCTAGGAAGGATCTGCCATTCGGAGACAGAACTCGCAAAGGCTGTGGGAGGCGGGAAAGGGGCGTCTTGACGACTGTTTGGAGACCTGCTGAGGAGGCAGCAGGCTCCAAGTGGCACCCCTGACAGAGCAGATTATTGATGTCTCTTGGCATTGACCATAAAACTGTGGAGCCTTTGCAGGTGTATCAAAATCAGTTGAATTCTCTTCCAGATTACTACGGAAAGCACCAGGGTCTGAGGCAAAGGCAGGCTTGGGTTATCAATTGCAGGGATGTGTGAACTACACTTTCCCCTCTTCCTCTGCCTGTCCCAACCCCGCTCCACTAAAAGACTCAGCGTAGGGTTGGCGAACTGAGGGGTGAGATTAGAGTTGAAGGCCCCATTCCTTCCGTAGGCTTCCTGACTGCGTTGGTGAGCCCCTTCCAAAACAAACAAACAAACAAAGGTTCTTTCCACACTGCCCCTCCTTGACCAGGGGATGGGATGCCCTAGAGACTGTGGTGTCCTGGAAGAAGCCTCACTATGGAAGTCATCTTGGTGACACAGTGCTTATGCCAGCAGCCGGAGACAACGCCTCCATTTTGAAGGCATGGTGAGCAGAACAGGGGGTCTTCCCAGGCTCCCAGCTTTGTATTCTCAGAGGAAATCTGAGACATTGGCCAAGCAGGACTACTCAGAGGACTGAGGAGGGCCTCAGTGCTTCCCCACCCCGCAACCTCTCTCTTTGCAAGATGGTCTGCTTCTCCTTTATCAGCTGATTCTTTACCTCTAAACTGCTGGCTTTCTATAGCAACTCATTCCCTGGGGCCGTGTGGTGTGTGTATGTGTGTGTGTGTGTGTGTGTGTGTGTGCGCTGGGGGGTAATTAAGAGAAGCTTCTGACTAACAAGTCACACCAACCCATGCATTAGACAGGATCTGTAGGTCACTCCAGTGCTACACACTCCTTCCTTCCACAAACGTTTATGGAGAGCCTGCAGAGTGTTTTCTGTGCTCCGGACAGCACTGTGGATCCTTAGCACGCTTCCGGGAGATGAGGAAATCATCACGGAGGTAGGAGGTGAGGCACCAACTCTGCTCACCTCTGCCTCCAGCTGTGCTTGGCCTTTCTAGTAGTAAAAGCCACTCTCAACCAATCCCACACCCAGCGTGGGAAGGAGGGTGAAAAGAAGTGGAGAGGGTGGGGCCACTTCTTAGGAGAGCCTTCCACCCCAGCAACCTCTCCCCTGTATCTTTTAATGGCTTCCTTAGGATATATGAGGGAGATGGATTCAGAGGACCATAGGACAGGGTAAAATGGGCTATGGAATGGCGGGAGGGCTGTTCACTTTGGACAATGAAGGCTTGCCTTCCCCAATGTTAGATTGGCTTTACTTATGGAAGCCTCTACCCTTAGCTGTGGTGGGGCTTCGAGTAACTGAGCAGCGACTGACTGACACGGGTGACCCTGTCCAGGAGGGATTAGAGGTAAATGACGTCCTGGGCATTTCAGGCCTGTAATAACAGCCTCGTCATTCAATGGGGGAAGGGCAAAGGGATTTGCGAGTTCTGCATTTGCTTTTATTTCAGTCCAGTGGATAACTGTATTCGTGTTTAATATTTCCATTATATTTTTAAAATGTTAGGGAATTACCTAGGGTATATTATAAAAGTATACCCCTGAAGATGAATCTGGGCAAACCAGCATGTCTCTGCTTGACTTAAATGGCTCTACTCTAGAGGATGGAGGGCCACTTTTTACTCTCACCTCTGCACCACCGATGCCCATGAACAAGATTTATTTGTTCTACATAAAGGTTGGTAGAATGGAGAAGGGTGGTGTTTGGGCTCAGAACTCAGCCATCCTGACCAGAGTACTGGTGAGGTCCTTCACCTAAGAGTCATATAGGCTCCGTCTTCCTTTCTGGAAGCCTTGCAGATTTCCTCAACGAAATTCAACTGGTGGTCACTCCCTGCCCTTAGAACCCCTTAGAATGACAAAATGGGATTCATATTAACCCCACGTAACCGACAAGTCCCCACACCTGCCGGGATTCCTAGTGGTGTAACTGCCTTACATCACCAAACGGGTCCCTAGAATGGCAGTAGCCACCCAGCCTTCGAATGACCACACCTATTCCCAGGAGTGTTCCTTTATGCAGGGTCCCTGCCGGCGGAGTCTCAATTCAAGAGAGCTTCCTGTACTTCCATGCCCTGCCCTAGCTGGGTCTCAGATCCCCAGAGCCACTCACACGGTGATGGTGTTGGGGTTCAGGAAAGTTGTACTCCACTTGCTCTATTCGAGACTTGGGTGAGAGAAACCTAGGTTTTTCTGGGTAAAAGAAAGTTGGCTACAGTCGGTGGCCTCCTGAGGCCTGCGTGAGGCAGCTAGGGGAAGCCAAGTGAGTGAATCCGAAACCCCAGGATGGCGGAAAACAACAGGCCTCAGGCCTGGGATCCAGTTGACCGCAGGACCCGAGACTTCTTTCTCCAAGTATCTACCTGGGAGAGGCCCAGACCCAGGATACTGGCACTGAGACCTGGATCTGGATGAACGACCGGCCTGAGAGTGCTGTGAATGCAAGTTCGCCGCGGGGGGGTGGAGGGTGAAGGGGCTCGGACTCCGGGTGAGGGCCGGTGGATCCGAGGAAGAAAGCGTCAGCCAGGCCAGGCGGAGGAACGCCGGAGTCGGCGGCATCCCAGCGAGTGGGAACTGGAGCAGCGGAGCCGCGGCAGGGCAGCCTACTCTACTGCCCACTCAGCCATCTCTGAGCATCAGCCCACGCAAGGCCAGGTGCTGGGAAATAAGGCTGGACAGAGGCGGGGAAGCCATCCGACCGCCTGCGTGGTGGCCCAGCCTTCTTCAGCAGCTGCCCACTCGGGTCCCTCCCAATCCTGTCCCTACAGCGCGCGCGTGACTTTCTCCGCCCTTGCTCTGAGAACCCCAGCGCGGAGGCCCTGGCTCTCGATGTCGGGCTTCTCCAACTGATTTGTGTCCTAACTACACAACCAGCCGGGATGGGCCTAGAGAGAGAGCACTGGCCCAGCAGAACAAACTGCAGGACAGAGAAACAAGGACTCCTTCCAGCCCCCTGCTTTGTCCCCCGCGTTCAGCTCAGTGTCCCGCACACAATAGGCACTCGGAGTATTTACAGGATGAACTGCAGAATGAATGAACCAGTATACGAACTGAGAGATGGACGCTGGAGGGAGGTCGGAGGCCCCAAGAAAGGCAGCCTGGTGGCCCAGGCAATCAAAGCTGCGGCTGTCCCCTTACCTCGTACCAGGATGCGGCGGCAGTGGTCCGTCTCACCGAGCGCCTGCTGTCCGTCGCTGTCCCCGCCGCTCTCCCTGGAGCCTGCAGGGCTGGAGGCGGAGGTTCCAGCAATCTCCCTCGGACTCGCGCTACCTGTGTCAGCACGCAAATCTTCCGCTCCGCGGTGCTCTCCGTGACGCCCGCTGCGGCCACCAGGCTCCTCCCGGCGCTTGGGGCCGCGGTCCCGCTCCGCGCCCCCATCGCCCATGCCCGCCGCCACTGCTGCCTGGGCCACAGCAGCCGCCAGTCCTAGCTCCGGGTAGCAGGTCCTTCCCTGCCCCTCCCCACCCCTTCCTCCATCGGCCCCGCCCCTCTACAGGCCCCGCCCCCGTCTGCGATTGGGCGCGAGCTGGGGTTCTAGGACTCTGGGTGGATCTAGAAGGCGCAGCGCAAAGGGAGGTTGTTCCGGAGGAAAAGAGGAGGAGGGGGTGAGGGGAAGAGAGACGAGGGGAGGGAAAGAGGAGAAGGAGGAGGGATAGGAGGGAAAGAGAAATGTGGAGAAGGGGAGGGGGCGGTGTCTTCGCGCCTCCTCGCGTGGGGCGGTGTTTAGAGCCTGGCAGTGGGAAACTGGACGGCCCCGTGGTACAGAAGACCGCCCCACACCCGCTCATAAACTTTATTACTTCCCATTCATTGGTCCTTCTCGCCCCTCTTCTCTCTGTTCCCTGTATCCCCAGAGAAATGCACCTAGCTTTCAGACTGGCTCCGCTTGATGGATAACCCAGAGCTCTAAGAAGGCGACCCGGCTCGACCCGGCAGAAAACAGGAGGTTTGCTGGGCTCCAGAACTTGATGCGGTGGGGGCGGGGTGGAGAGTGGGGTGTAGGCCTGGGGTTCAGGGCGCCCGTGCCCCAGCCAAGCCCACACTCACACTCAGGCACACAGAACGGCCACCTATTGTGGGGATCCCCACGAGTTTCGCCAGACAAGCCCGGAAGTCCAATGCACTTTCCCCAGCGGGGCTGAGGTGCCGAGCTGGACAGGCAGACTGCCAGGTTGTTCTGCCAGGAGCAATTACTGGGCTCTCCCGAAACTCTGAGGTTGTTACTCCCGGGACTGACACCTAAAGAATAAGACTGAGCTCGGGTTTTTTCTCGCACTTTCAGTGTCGGCCCCGAACGGGGCCGTAGACAGGAGCCTGGAGCTTTGAGGTGTCTTCCTGGCTACACGTTCTGCAGAATCTGTCTTCTGTTTGTTTAGACAGCGTCAGGAGGTGTGGGGACCAGTCTCATTGCATTTGGCTCAGCTTTAAAAGAGGTTTGGGGAAAAGATTGAGAAGGTGTATGTGTAACCGAGGGTCTATGGCTCCTTCTTTTAAGGCCGGTATCCCTATTCCTCAATCCCTCAGACTCTCCCCTTCTTCCACTTGCAGATCTGGAATAAACCAGATACTAGGGGTGAGCCAAATGCTTGGTGTGGGTCCAAGCCAAGGCACTTGAGGAGGTCCCAAGATCTGGTTGAAGGTGTCTGTGACCACCAGGGGTGGGCGTGTGGGGTCTGTCTCTGAGGGTGAACAGGTGTGGGGTGTGAGGAGTCAGTCAGTGCTTCGCCCTGTGCTATGTGTGTGTGTGTCTGTGTGTGTGTGAAGGGGGGGTTGGATATTGTCTAACCCTAGGTGTCCTTAGCCAAAGGGGAGGGTGGTAGATGCGCACCACTGACTGGGTGACTCTCACTGATTCTTGTAGTGTTAGAAAAGTAAAGAAAAGAGGTAAAGAGAGGATTCTTGTTGGGCCCTACTCCGAATAAAAGGAAGGGAGGAAGAAGACAGGAAGGGTGGGAGAAGGATGGAGATGCAGCCAGAATGCTTTAACTCAGAGACAATAGAGGAGGGGTGGCTTCCATGGTATGTAACCGGGCCTGCAGAAGGTACCTGAAGTCCACGTGCTGGTTGTGTGGGAGAAGAGGGAGAGAAGGAGGGAGAGAGGGAGAAAAGGAGAGAGCGAGAGAGAAAGAAGGAGAGAGACAAAGAGTGAGGGAGAGAGAACTGGGACCCAGATCAGACCTGGGCAAAGTGGCCATTCATTCTTGTACCGGTCCCCTCCTAGCCTGCCCTCTGGAGGGCAGTAGGACTTCCCAGCAGCCCCCACAGGGCCAGTGCCCCACACACTGACCACCTTACACGAGCCATTTGCGTTTATCTCATCTCTGGCTTTCTCAATTTTTAAAAGTATGCCTTGCATCTAGTACAGAAAAACAGAAGCCAAAGAAGCTAGAGGCAGCTAGACCTTATCCCTCCGCCTAGGCAGCTCTCCCCCCCCCCCCCCCACCTAGGAAGCTGTTTTTGCACCAACAAAAGCAGAGTTGTTTCTTTTCAATGTTTTGTTTCTTTGGTTTTTCTGTGTAGACCTGGCTGTCCTGGAGCTCACTCTGTAGACCAGGCTGGCCTCAAACTCAGAGTTCTGTCTCTGCCTCCCTAGTGCTGGGACTAAACGTATGCATCCCCACCAGTTTCTTTTCATGATTTTAAATCTTCATTTCACTGATGGAGGAGGTCAAGTCTTGTTCCAGGAGCCTTTTCTGAGCTCAGTCCCCAGTGAGCAGGATCATCCTTCCTGGAGGCTGATAATTTTGGAGAGTGCTTTGGATCTAGGGTCTGGAAGTTTGGATTGTTCTGGGTCTCCTGCAAGCACTCAGGTTCTTTGGTGCCACTGGTCTCTGCACTCAAGGAGACTGTATTCTTTAGTGCTGTCCTGGCAGAGGAAGTCTGGGCACTACTGTGTAGTTATTTGGCCAGTGAGTGCCACCATCCATGGTGGGTGGGGGGATGGTGTTGGATTTTTCTGAATGTCTGAGTATGCTCTGGGAAGGGAGGCATCTGTGGACTGGGCAGGGTCTGGCTCTGAAGCTCCCTTCTGCTTCCAGAGTGGCAGGCTGAGACTATGAGTTCTGCTTGGTGCAAATTCAGGTTGCTGAAGGTTTTTCTCATCTAAGTCAGGGAGCCAGGAGGCCTGGATTTTACCCCTACTATGTTCTTTTGGTGATCGGTGGTGCCTGCCTGTTGCCTCACATCCCAACCTGTCCACAACCCTAGAGAACCTCTCCTCCGCCCTCATCCTTCTCCTCTCCCTGAATCCACTCTTCTTCCTCATTCTCCATCCCTCTCTTCCTCTTCAGAGACCCAAGTAGCACAGCCTGGCCTCAAACTCACAGCTCTGTAGCTGATTCTGTGCCCCCACCTCTAAGATGCTGGAATTATAGGTGTGTGTCTTCGCTTTTTTTAAAATGCAGGGTTTATGAAGGGCTGGAGATCAAACTCACAGTTTCTTACATGCTCTATTTAGTTACACCTGCAGCTTTTCCTCTGAGGTGAACTGAAGAGCCTGAGTGAGCGGCCGAAATTACAACCCAAAGATGGTGGAGCAGAAAAACAGGAGGATATGATGACAGGAGACCCGGGCCCAGCTCAGCCTAGCTTTTGCTTGCTGCTTCCCTCTTGTTGGGTGTGTGTGTGGGGGGGGGCGTGTATCTGCTTCATCCTCCAGGAGTGTGTGTTGAGCTTAGCCTGTTGTGCACTGTCTGGCTTTTTCCAGGTTTGGAAGTAACTCCCGAATATCTCTGTGGAGGTTCCGAGGAGCATTTTTGTATTGTCCCCAGAGAATCCAGCGCTTAGATTTGTCACCACTTTGAGTTCTCCTATTGCTAAAGGGAGCTTGGAGTTTGGGGTGAGCAGGGCAAACTGCTTGTAGACCTAGACCTGGCTCAGAGATGAGGCAGACCTCACAAAGGGTCTATCCCTCACTTCCTTTTCCAGCCTCCCATCTGAGAGCCAGACCTTTGCAGAAGCATGCTGCTGGAGGACCCGTATCCGCCCATCCCATTCCCAAGGGGAGCTGATGGTTTCTGAGCAGAGCAACCATGCTGAATGAGAAGGGGGAAGGTGGGGGGTGGTTGAGTCCTCTGTGGTCTCTGTGGGTGCAGAGATGTGCTGGACATCTCAAGCTCTGATGCCTAGCCTCCTCTTGGGTTACCCCCTTCATGTTCACAGAGATATTTTTAAAAAGTTAAACACTCCGTGTTTGTCATGTGTAGTGACATACACTACTCTTTAAAAGATTTAATTTTATGTATGAGTGCCTTGCATGCACTTATGTCTGTGCACCATGTGTGAGCCTGGTGCTGGCAGAGGTCGGGAGAAGGGGTTGTGTTTGTTAGAACTGGAGTTACTAGAGTTACGGATGATCGGATGATCGTAAACCACTAAAGTGATGGAAACTGAACCAGGTCCCCTAAAAGAGCAGAAAGCGATCGTAACCACGGAGCCGGCCCCTCCAGCCCCTACGGACACATTTTAAGCAACATGACATGGTGATGATGTGCCTGTGACCTGGGGCTCTACAAGGAGCTGGACCCTCGAGCTGTAGGACAATGGGAACGGTGCAGAACTCAAAAGGTCACTGCTGAGGCTGAGCAGGAACTGAAGCAGGCTAACTGATCAGTTGGTAGAAATGCTCTAGGCCACAGGGCAGGTAATCATCAGTCAAATGATGCTGAATCCCCACTCCCCAACACTCTTGGGTTCCACAGGTATGACTCTGACCTGTCTAAGCTGTCTCTTGTGGGTATCTAGGCTGTTCCTTCAGCTCATGAAGGAAACCTAGCCAGAGTTCTGTCAGAGTTCTGGAGTGAGCAAATACCTGCTGCCCATGTGCCAGTCCTTTACCAAGGAGCTGATGACTTTTCAAAGCTGCTGAGTTTCTGCCTCTAGCCAGAAGGCCACCCAGGGCTGGCTGTGGTGTGACAGTGGTGCTTATATTGGTATATAAGTCAAATGTCACACAGCTCACCTGTTTATGGTGTACAGTTCTGTAGACTTCAGGATATCACAGATAAGTGCAGCCATCACCACTGCAAACATTAAAGCATTTTCATAGACTAAGGATGCTGTCTGGATCGAGTGTTTGTGTAGCAAACAGAAAGCCCAGGGTTCAAATCCCAGACCTCAGAGACCAGCTGTGCTGGGCATGTCTGTAATCCCAACTCCTGAGAGATGGAGGTGACAAGATCAGGAATTCAAAGCCATCCTTGGATTCATAGCAAGTCTAAGGTCAGCCTGAGCTACAAGACACCTTGGAGGGAAGCTCACCCCTCAAGCCCCCATTCCCTCTCAGACCTGAACCACTGTTATCTTCCTGTGACTATAGATTTGCCTGTTTGGGGTGTCTCATATGAATGGGATTTTACAGTGTGTGCACTGGTGGCTGGACTCTTT